CTCCAATAAGGAGCTGGTCGTTTGGAATCTTTACATCTACCCCAAGACACTTGGGTGTGTGGGGAGCTGGGATGGGGCAAGAAATGGGGTGGGGGCTTCAGCATCCAGGGAACCGTTGTGCACCTCCCTCCTTCCGCCGAAGTGCCCCATGCTGAGCTGGGGCTCAGCGATCACGAGCTCCAGCACCGTGAATATTTTAGAGGAGGACATTCTGTTTAATATATGTGTTTGTAATATATTATATATATGATCCGTTTGTAGTATATATTATTTAGCATATAATATGTATTATATGGTTTCATCATGTCCTATACTGTCTACCATATATTTAAGCTCGAGTTCCAATTTACATTATTATGTTAGTTAACATATGACACATTTTATACGTTACATGTTATACTTCATGTGTAGATAGTTCTGGATATATATGTACATATAAATATATTTATTTTACGTATGTGTGTAAAAGTATTTGGGGAGCCTTTAATTTCCCTGCAAGTACATATTTGATCGTTTTCATACAAAGTTATTTTTTTTTAAAAAGTCCTAGTGGAAACCACTTTGACACCAGCTGTCCTTATAACAAATGCCCTGGGGTCCAATTTCGGCCCCAGGGAAAGGCGGGAGCGGGTAACTCGGCCGTAAGGGACAGCAGGTCCGCTCTAGAAAGTGGTTTTCCAAACGCCCATTCCCTGGGGACAGAGGAAGAAACGTTCTGGACCTAGTGGCTGGCTCTTCTCGATTGCGTCGTGTGGTTGTTTTGGTTTTGAGAGAGGCTGTTTAGAGGCTCCGATGGTCCCTACACTGATGTCATGAATTAAAAATGAATTTGGGGAGTGCAGCATATGCTCAGCTGAGGCGTCTGGGAGAGCAGCGGAAGCCTTTCACCCCGGATTCTGGGTCCAGACGCCGCACTGGCGGCTCCGGCCTCCGCGCGCGACGCGGGCGCGCACAGCGGTCCGGGCTCCCGGGGTCCCCGCTCCAGCCTGCAGCCGCCCTCCGACCCCGCGCCAGGAAAAGCTGTCCGTGGCTTGGACCGCCTGCAGGCCGAGTGGTCCCAGCTACAGTCCGCTTTTCGATTAAGAGCCAAGAGCCGAAGAAAGCGGGCAGTTGGGAGCTCCCGCAGGAGGGCAGGGGCCAGGTGGAACAAAAGCTGGATTTCGGATGTCCGAAGGTTATCGCCTCCGCACCGGACATTCAGTTTATGGATGGGCGGGAAAAAAAAAGACAACCGAAGTCAGGTACGGCGGGCATCAGAAATGAGAAACGCCCTAACTTTGCAGCCTGAGGACCGGAAGGCGTCTACTTCAGAGGCCTGGGAGTCGGGAAGAGAAACTGATGTGGCGGGGGAGGGGGCAACGGGGTGGGCTCGAGGAAGACTTAGTGAAGGGGCAAGAGGGGTCAGAGACCACCGAAATGCAAGGTGCGGTGGGCTGTTTATTTCTTAAAAGCAAATCCTCCAAATAGCTACCTGGTGAACATCATGAAACAAAACCATGAAACTTGGCTAAAATCTAACCAAGAGATGGGCTCCCCACTTCAGGCAAAACCCCAGGTTCAGGGAGCCCGGAGCCCGCCTCTGAGCTGGCCTTTTCCCCAGCCTTGGGGAAAGGTTTTTGCGGACGTGGAAGAGTGCAGGCTATGTCCTCACTGCTCTGTCCCTGACTGGGCTCTGGGGTGTGTGCTAACATGCGCTGGGGACCGGAAGTGGGAAAATGTCTTCATGTTGCTAAGAAAAAAGCAACCGACCCCTCCCCCTCCTCAATCAATGGCTGCAGTCTCCGAGGCTGGCTGCGTGGGGAGGCGTCTGCACACTCACAGGATGCCAAGGCTCCCAGATGAAGGGTGGGTCACAGTGCCAAGCAGGTGGATGTGGGGCTCCCCTAGACGGGCTTCAGCACATCTGGCCCGTCTGCAATATTTTCTCCACTCAGGTGATCCATCTTGCCCCTGCCCAGTGTGGTGGGAAACTTTAATTGCATAAGCATTAGAGTTCCATATTACTGCCCCTTACTCTGAGCCCCCATGATCCTGGTTTAAGGGGCAGCTGCTCAGGTGTGCTGGGAACAAGACAGGGTCGATTTCACTGCTCATTTACCATCAGAGCACCTTGCACGGGAGACAGTGCATTTCTGTCACCGATGGCACCTGTCGCAGTACTATGCTAAGCGCCTGTTACAAGGATCTACCTCATCCGGTGGTCCGAGCAATTCATCGAAGAATGCGGCTTCTCACTTTCCAGATGAGAAAACTGAGGCTCTGAAATGCTAAGGGGTTCACCCACGGTCACACACAGCTAGTGAGACTTGGATTCCATTGCAGGTCTTTCATTTCTTCCCGCCACCATCTCTTATTTTCCATCAAAATGCCCTCTTTCCCCAGTGAGGAAGTCTCACAGGGCGAGAAAAAAGATAATACTTTGCTGACTGGGTAAGAAAAGAGGTAACACTTTGCTCTTGACTCCCCCCACCCCAAATTCAATAACGAGAGGATGCAGAGCCTGGATCCCACTCTCCCCAGAGCACTTATTTCAGGTCCAGAAGAGACAGTAAGCAGCTGGCACACAGACAGCATAGACGGTGTACAGAGAGCTTGCTCCCACCTCACTTCAATCACCTTTCCCACCGCCCCCGTCCGGTGGATACTGCTGTTCTCACTGCAGTTTAGGGAGGCAGAAACAGGCTCGGTGAGGTAGAACTACTTGATCACTGCCCAGCCAGTTCGCGCAGAGCCCTGGCACTGGCCTGGGCCGGCCCATTCCAAGCCTCCCAGCTCTGCAGATACCACATATGGGACCATTTAACCAACAGAGTTAGGCCTCTCATTCTGTTGTGAAACTGCTAGGTTGTTTTCTCTTTGTTATAAGCGTTTCTGCAAATGTTTTTTCGGGATTCAAAACTTTCTCTTTATTTATGCCTCTATTAGACTCATTCTTTCTCCATGTATGTATTGCAGCAATCTGTATTGCAGGACCATCAAGGAAACAGAAAAGGAGTTGCCCCTTAGCTATGTTCAGATGTTACTCAGAGTCCAATTGTAGACTTCATCTGCAATTTTTGCTCTATTAGTGTTTGTAGGTTTTGGTCTATTACCATTTGCCTTACGTGCATCACTAGAACTCCAATATGTAATCAAGGGTTTGAAATTGTTTCTGTCTGTGTATTTTTTCTGGACTTTAATAGTATTTTTAACCCTTGCTTGGACAATGCCTTCTCTTTGCTAAGATCTAAGGGGGAGAGTTTGAGGTTGGTTGAATTCTTTGATCAAATAATTTCATATCCAAAGGGGTAATTGAGACTCCAGATAGGAAATGGCTGGAGGGGTCTCTGACCTTGAGAGGATGTACCAAATCCCCAGCCACCACCAAGAGTCTTGTCAGGGAAGAGTGTTCTCAGCCATCAGCCAGCCAGGACTCCATCCCCACACTCATTCTGAACCTCACTTTTTCACTCTCCATAAGAGCCATGTCTCTCTGTCCCATGAAAAAGCTTCATTTATTCTCATTATTATAAAATTATATGTATATCTTTATACTAAACTAGAATGTACAAAGAAGAAAGCAACAATCACTTAAATCACTTAAATTCCCCCTAACCAGAGGTCACCACTGCCCAACATTAACTTTTGACACCTCAAAAAAGAAAAGTAGTTTATGTAAACACACCTTTTCATTATTGATGGTCTAGTAAATAAAAGAAAGGGAAGAAATACACTGTGTGATTCTGTTTACAAAGTTTATAACTGGATATAGAATTCAGAAGAGTTCTCTGGGAGAACTCTGGGAGAGGGTTCACTGTAAAGGGGTACAAGGAAGCATTCTGGGGTCCTAGACATGCTTTACGTCTTCATTTGGGCTATGGTAACATGTATACAATTGCTAAAACTCACCAAACTGAAGACCTGTGTATTTTACTGTAAAATTTTATACCTCAATAAAGAAAAAGAAAGGAAGGAAAGAATCCTGGACAAATACTATAGCAAAAGACCAAACTGGAGGGGTGGGGGAGAATTAAAAAAAAAGAAAAAAGAAAGCGTGAGATGTTGAGCTAAGGCAAGCTACATACAATACCCGGAACTTCACAGAGGAGGATACCAGGCTTGTCTCCCCAGTACCACCAGCCCTTCTCAGCTCTGCCCCCCTCTTCAGGCCTGCAGTTAAATCCAAGAGGGCTGGACCCTTAAAAAGGTAACACAATCTTGAGATCCTGCTGGGGCCCACCATCTACCAGACTGCCTCTTCTTGGATGCTGTTACGCTTCCATGTTTGTAATGAGGCACTGCATTTCCTGAGGTGGGAGGGGGAAGGGAGGGTATCCCTTGGAGCTTAACAAATGTCTTTGCTTGAGTCAGGAAGGAAGATTGAAGGCCTTCACTTTCAAATAGGTTACTTTCCAAAAATTTCTTTCTTAATCACTAACTAGGACTCAGAATGTTTGCACCTCATAGAAACAATGTTATAAATGATGGTCAAGGTTCCAAGTATCTCCTCCCAAAAAAATCTGTTAAATGCCTACTCATAAGATATAGAATTTTAGGCTTGATAGGAGTATAAGTGCACTAAATTATAGTGGTTGTGTGCTATGTAAAAAATGGAAAGAAAGCAAAATCCTTTTCTTCCCCCAAAAGACATACCTACTATCTGGGTGGATCCCAGGCACTATGTTGGCATCAGGGATTCAAAAATGAACAACCTCCTGATGTCTTCCCTCAAACAGCTCATTGTCTAGTAGAGAAAGAATGCCTTGTAAATAAATAAGTGTAATAAAAACCTTACAGGTGTTGTGATAGAGATTGTTATAATGAAACAAAACAGAAAAATTGAAGTGAATGCTAGCTGACAACGAAAAACATCATTTTGAAGCAGGCTGAGTTGATGGGATAAGGAATTTGATGAAGACCTGTAGAAAGACTCTAAGGGGTCATGGGGCAATTTGAAGGGCAATGGCCCTAAATCTGATTCTACTTCAAAATACATGTCTTCCCTTGTCCCTGCATTACAGTTTGACTTCTCGGTCATCATTGGGGCTGGTTGGTTGATCTTCACTTTCAATTTTTTTGGAGGCAGTAGAGGTGGGCAAGACCTGTAATTCCAACGATAAAAGGAAAGAAAATTTAGAAGGTAAACCCAGGAAAAGGACTGTCAGAGGTAGGTAGACTTGACCCAGTAGTGATGGAGGGAAAAGCGTAACTCCCAGCACTGGGTAAGAAAGAAAAAGCCTTTCCCCACACCAGCCACCAGATGGTGAGGATGGCTCAAGATAGCTTGGTTGTCTTGAGAGCAGAGTGAGCTTGGAGGCCCTGTGTCCTCACAAGCATGGGACCACTTAAAGTCACATATTTACAGTATTCAGGGTTCATTTACTCATCCAACCTGCATTGTGCATTCACCATTCATATGGAAATTTGCAACTGACATGCAATTAACAGAACTAAAAGATTTAGTGATCTATGGTCCTTGCCTTCAAGGATTGCTTGGGAAACTAGATAACTATTATTTAATTTGCCCAGACATGAAATCTCCTATATTTTTTCCTCGTGATGCTGTTTTCGTCAGTAAGTTGCAGAGAGTAACAACGCAGAATCTGCTGACCTCACACAATTGTTCTGAGGCTGGAATATGATTAGGGAGTAAAAATGTCTTTGTCAAGTGCAGGTTAGACAAACATTAATCAAGAAAATTGTTTTCAGCTATGTCTTCCCCTTACTGGTCAATTATTCATTCAATAAATGTTTATGGTACACTTACGCTGAACAGGTACTGTTCTGGGCGCTGGGGACATAGCAGTGAAGAAAACAGATGAAATCTCTGCCCTCATGGAGCTGACATTCCCCTTTAGGACATTCCGCTGACATAAATAAAAAGACTCATCAGCCATGTGAGGGAGGCAGAAAGCTTAAGACTGCACAAAGCTGTGTACATTTGCTGTTTGGAATATTGAAAAATTGGAAACAATCTAAGTATCCTTTAATGGAGGGACAGGTTTTTAAAAAATTATAATGCTTCCATGCTACAAAAATCTGGGTGGCTGTAAAAAGAAGTAGCTCTCTGTATATCGTATCATGGAAGGATTTCCAAGACCTGTTAAAGGGGGGGAAAGTAAGTTCCAGAATAATACGTAATATGATCCTGCTAATGTTTCAAATAAACACTACCTATTTGTGTTGTATTCATACCCTAATATACAGTTACATGTGAATACTTAGATGTAAACTCAGAGAAAAGTTCTGGAAAAATACACAGCTGACAACTGTGTTACTGTAGGGGAGGAGAGGTGAACTGATGGGGGATGGTGTGGACAGGGCACTTTTACGATGGCGATGATAATTTCCGGCAATGAGTGTGCATTCATGTATTGCTTGCGTAATTAAACAAGGAGACACATGCATGTGGGTACAATTGAGTTATAGCAACATGATTATAGGTGACAATTGTTACTCTTTTAATCTCCCATTATGTTGTTTTAACATCTCTATAGACAGATATATACATATAGATGAGATGATGCCAAAACATAAAAGGTGGATTTAAAACATGATGTCCTGGCTCGGAAATCTTGCCTCTCCCCACCCCACCTGCAGTTTATAGTGAAACATTTTTTAAGAGCATCATGGGACGTTGGATAGAAACCCTTGATCTCCCAATTCTGAGGCACATGTAATTATTTCACAGTTAAGTAGCCTCAAGGATCTTTGCAAAAGATATGACTTCATTATGAGAGCATCATGCCTCTCCCAGCAGTAATTGAGCTTCAGCTGGAGCCAATGTGGAGGTTCTGGTATGTGATGGGTGGATCCCAACAAGGTCCCCTGGTTCCCAAACCAAGCCAGGTAAGCTAGCCTGAGCTTTGGCTGATCTCTGAAAACCAGCTCATGCATCCTGGCTGAATCTCTTGTCTCTGTCTTTGTCTCTCTCTCTGTGACCTTGGCAGTCTTTAATGCTTCTGGGTTCACCAGTGGCAGGAGCTGGACTCTATGGCCCATAACATCATTTCTAATCCCAAACTTCTGATTTCTATTGTGGCAAGTTGTTACAAGAGGAGACCACATTTGTTCACACGCGAATGCCATGTGCTGGGACAGAAAAGCAGAAAAGCAAGGTCCGTGGCCTTAAAGAGTTGTGGTGGAGTCAAATTCTTGAGGATGTTGAAGCTGATGAAACTGCTAGAAAAGTGGACTCAGAACAGAAGCCTGGAGATCTTCCTCCACTTTTATGTGGTCTCTGGTTTGAAATCTCTTGCATAAAGTTGGCCTCTGTTCTTCTAGCCTCTTTGTTCTGAAATAAAGCTGGCAGTAGGGGCCCTAGCATGCTGGGTGGCTTCAGGTCTTAGAGGTTCAGGTCTGTAACACACATCCATGTTACACAGGGGAAAAAGAGTCCCGGGTGGGGACAGGGATAGCCTGAGTGAGTCCTAGGAGGACTAGAGATAGGACCACCAATTCAACAGACTTTTAGTGAGCACCTGCTGTTTGCCAGGCACTTTGCTGGATTGTGGAGCACAGGTGTGAACTGATCAAAGATAGGGCTTACAGAGCAGGGCTTCAGTGGTTAGAAGCCTCTCCTGGGCTGGATAATAGAAACCTTCAGATCTGTGCCCTCCTCCAGGGGTTCCCCGAGAATGGGCAGATCCGGTCTCAGCTGCCAAGAAACAGAAAACTGCTCAGGGCGGGGGTGGTGGGGGGACCAGACATGCTAGACACTGAGTCTGGAGCTGGGGTCAGAAGCCATCCTAGACTGTGCAGAAAACTCTACAGTGCCCTTGGTCCCAGCCAATACTGAGCAAAGGGAACTTGCTTCCATGGGCTGAGCATGGGCAGGTGTTTCCACAGCAGAGAATTAGCACCAAGCTGACCCAACTTCTCATTCCCTCTCCATGCCTCCTAGCTGTGTGACCAAGTAAATGACTCAATCTCCTGAGCCTCCTTTGTTTCTTCTGTAAAATGGGAATAATGACAATCCCACCCATTCTTCCTTCAGGAGATGGTGCTGGAGATCAAATGAAGTAGTGGGTGGAAAAGTAAATGATAAAGCACTTTAAAATACGAGCTGATGGTGTTGCACACTTCAAAGGGGAGCATCTTCATGCTGTCTCCCCTCTACGTCCCCCATCCCACCGGGGAGCCCCTTTACTACGCAGCCATGTGACGTTTCCCAGTGTGGAGACTGCGGGAGCAGTCCTGGAGGCAGCAGAAGGATTTCTTGGCTCACTCGCCCCTCATGGGATGGAGGGATCATTCCAGAGCTCGTAGATTCCCTCACCAGGTTTCCCTTACAGGGCACATGGGCAAGCTGGCACTGGCGCTGGCACTGGCTGAGCAGCCCCTGGAGATGAAGCTGGGAGGCCCCATCACTACTGTGCGTTCTGGCCCTGCCCTGAAATCCATTAAACCAATGCCTTGTATGCCTGACAGGCAGCAACTGGAGACATTTTCAGGCGCTTATGGGCTCCTTTGGGGAAGAGGCTCTCTCTGGGCCCATGGGCTCCTCTGCAGGAAGAAGAGACCCTTTGGGGGCAGCGGGAGCTGGGGCATCAGGTGGGCCAGCACCTCTGGTCCTCACATACTATCAACCTTGGGCATTCCTCTGGGCACAGCTGTCAGATGTGATTATTTTTTATTTTGAAAGTGACACATAATAATAAAACGTAAACGTGACATAAGAGGAAAAAGTCAGAGACAATACCTTACCCATCCTACAACCATTAACCACCTGCTACAAAAATGCTTCTCAGTGTAGCTATGTATGCTTCTTGAACAGGATTTGGGAAAACGCAGGTAAATCATTCTCTTGGATGTTCCCTCCTTCGGGGTGTAGGTCCGCCTCCCTCCTGCAGAGTATCCCAGCATTGGACCATTTTTGACTCTTTCCACCGGGTGAATCCCCTGAATTGAAATTACAGGATCAAAAATATTTCTCTACATCCTCAATGTTTTGAATGTTACCATTCCTTTTTAAAAGTTTGGTAGTGAGTGAAAACAAAATTGTGCTCTAATTTTAAGTCGTTTGATTATTCATGTGACTGAACATCTTTTTTTATTTCTTGTATGTTTAGTGGCTGTTTGTATTTCTCCTTCTGTAAAAAGCTTGCTTGTGTATCTCAATTTTTCCCTTGGAAAGATGGTCTTTTTCTTATCTTAAAACAATACTTCATATAGTAAAGCCCTGAATTTATTGTTTGTCTTACATAATATTTTTTCACTAGTTTGCCATCTGTTTTTTGTGTGTGTTTCCATACCAAAGATTTAAATATTCATGCAGGTGAAGTTGTTAGTTGTTTTCCTTTCTGGATTCTGAGGTATATTTCTTTTCAAGAAAGGCCTTTCTTATCCTCAAGGTAATGAAATTCTTATTTTTTACTTTCTTCTCCAACTTTTATAATTTTTTAAAATGTATACATCTTTAATACATTTGTATTTTTCTCTGTGAATGTGACAGGAGGTGAAAACCTACTTTTTCCCCCTCCAAATGGATAACTAATTATTCCAACATCATTTATGGAAAAATCTTGTCCTTCTCCACTAACAAGAAATACAATAATAACTATATTCCCATTTAAACATTTTATTTCATTAACTTATTCTATTCTATATTCTATTTTATTCACGTACCTTTTTGATATTCCTACAGTGTTATCATACTGCTTAATTACTCTGACTTTGTAATATCTTTTAAAATCTGATAGAGCAAGCCTCCTCTCATTTTTCTTATTTTACAAAAATTGTCTATTCCCGTGTGTCTAATTTCCTAGATAATATATAGAATCAAATTGCCAGTTCTTTTAGTCAGGAATTTTATTGAAATTGCGTAACATTTATAGGCTGATTTGGGTGAGAATTGAAATCTTCACAATACTTAGCCATCTCGAGCAGAAATACCATAGTTTACTTTATTTAGATTTCCTTTGATGCACTTCAATATTTGCTTCTAAACAGGTCTTAGATGTTTCTTGCACGAATAAGCCATTGCATTTTCAGTTTTGGGGGTGATTTATGCCTTGTTTTGTCTTTGCTATGGTGAATGGAATAAATTTCATTTTATATTTGCAACTTGCTATTAATATTATGTAAGAAAACTAGTTTGTGTCTGGGAATCCTTGAAAACTCTCTTCTTGTTTCTATTTAGTAATCAGTTGAACCTCTTGGATTTTCCATTTAATTACTGCTTTACTTACTACCAAGAGAAAGTATGTCTGTTGTACAAAAGGAAAGAAACAAACAGTACCTTTCAGAAGTAGTCATTCTTAACATTTTGATAAATATCCTTCAAAAAATATATGTTTTATATTTATATATACATATATTCTTAAAAATAATATCAAAATGTATATAACATTATACGAACATCTACTGAAGTAGACAGACATGTATGTCTAAGAATTAAGTAGACACTGATATTACAGTCATACGAATAGCATCATAATATGCATATTGTTTTCTAACCCACTTTTCCTACTTAATAAAATATTATAAGCCTTTTTCCACATTATTATTCTACATTATCATTTTAACAGCTGCATCAAATGTATGAACTTATTTAAGCAATCTTCTAACTTTGGACATTTAGGTTGAGTCTATTTTTTTAATATTATAAATCTATAGTGAGCATCTTATTATGTAAATCTTTGTGAATGTTCATGATTATTTCTTTAGGAGGAAGTTCTAGAAGTGGACTTTCTGGATCCAAAGGCATGCTGGAATATAAGGTTTTTGTGACAGAGTTGACCAGTTGCCCGCCAGAAAGCTTCTTTTCCTACCTTCACTTTTTAATGCAGATTTCCTCTCATATCTCCCTTTGTTCAGTAAATATTATACCATAGATGGTTCTTAAATTCTTAAACTCACTGGCAACATCGTCTTAATGGTAACAGAATATTCTGTCAGCCACCAACCCTCTTTGGAGCCTTCATGGTTCCTTTTGTTTCCTGGGATAACCCAAGACTTCCAACTTCCAGACCAAGCAACTTTGATGACGGGGAACCCCAGCTTGGGGTTCCAGCTCCCCAAGTAGAAATAAAAGGGTTCAGTCAGCCTCGATCTTATTTGCTCTGTGCAGCAGGGAGGTGGCCAGAGACTCTATGAAATGTTAGTCATTCTAAGAGTTTGCTACCTACGAGAAGCAGAGATCCAATTGTGCTTCAAATAAAAATCCCCTTTCCCTGTCATTTCTTAATGAGTCAAAAAGGTGTCACATATTCTCCCCATCGGGTGTTCGTGTGGCAAGAAACTCCTAATTCAGAAACCCTTCCAGCAAGGGGATACATTTTTCTAAGCAGCGAATGACTACAAACACAACAGCATTGACAAATCACAACTTATATCCTTCTATGGTGTTTCTGCTCTTTTGAAAATGTTAATAAAAACTTAATGTGGAAAAAAAACAACTTTTTCCAAATATGTGTACCAATGAGCCCGAGGCAACTCATACTTTCTTATAAAATAAAGTGGGTCACTCACATCAATCATGTTGTCTTAGCACATTTTTTCCAAATTAGGAATTCTCAATCCATCATACCATGTTATGGCATCCCTTTTCCAAACATTTTCTTTTAATATGCGCTTTAACATGATAAGCAAATCTAATAGAATACATTAGTGTCACTTTTCAGTGATGGAGTGTTTCCTCCTGTTGCAATCTATGATGAATTCAGGGAAATATTTTTCCCAGCTCACCCTCTAACCGTGATCACTTGTTGAAAATATGACAATGGCCCCCAAAGCAGCCAGCGCCACACTGGGGTGTTGGCCTGAGAAAAATCACAGGACTCCTGCCTCACCTCTCCATGTGTCATAAATGCAGAAGACTCACAAGATGTGTGTGTCCCAAAGCAAAATAATAAATCCAGATTCTGTACGTCAGCAGTGTTTAAATTTAGCCTGTCGATTCAGTAGAGCTGCGCGTGCACACATAGTATCCCGAATAGATCAAAAGCTTGTACTGGGCTTCATTTTAAAGCCACATTGCTCGCAGAACGTTTCCAAATCTCCTGAATCATGCAGAAAGGGAGGATCCTTGGCTTAAGAGTCTTCCGAACCGGTTACCATCCTCTTGCAAGTGAATTTGGACCCCGCGTGAGATACACGCTCTGTTTACAACCCACTTGAGATAAATATATTTGCATGTTCATATATTTGACAACACTTAGCTGGCAGAAACACAGTCTTTGTTTCCACTCGTATCTCCAGTTCTCCAACTCATGTGTTCAGTGTTAGCACTTGACTTTCTTCGGAGATTTTTTTTTTTTTTTTGGACAGAGTTTTGGAATAAAACATTTGTGAAAGTTGGGAGTGGGAGAGATTTGCAGAGCGCCCAGGAATTCAGTTGTTTCGGGCTTTTGGCCACCCAATAGGAAGAAGTCTGAATGGGAAAGGGAAAGTTCAGTTTGTTTTCTGGATCTTTCATCTGGACACGCGGGGTCCAGCTGAGGCAGGTTTTGATTGTCCATTTCACAAGTCACATCACTTCTTCCTCCCATCTTGGGAAAGGGGAAGGGAACATTATGGACTCTGATCAGCCGTAGCTTCCTGACACTGCCCCATTCCTGCCCAGAGCTAACGACTTGAGGCTGTGTGTGTCCAGGAAACCTCACGAACTCATCACAAAAATGACTGTGCTGGGGGCAGTGGAGGACACAAAAACAAGACATAGCTGCTGCCCTTAAGGATCTTGAAGTCAGGCTTGAAAACAAGTAGAATATGATGAGGAAAAGAAGAAACATCCAGGCTGTTTAGAGGAGGGAGAGGTCACTGCCAGGTAAGGGTGAATGTAATGAAAGATTGAGAAGATGATGATCTTTGAACCAGTCATCAAATGTTAAGTAGGCTTTGGATCTACACAGATGGGCAAAGCATCCTAGGTCAAAAACACAGCAGGAGTAAAGGGGCAGGTGAGGGAATGCACGCAGGGAGTAGGGGCGGGAAAAACAATTAAGGACCAATGGAAGGCAGGCTGCGTAAAGAGAAGCATGAGAAGAAATCCAGGAAGGAAGATGGATGAAAGTGTGTGAGGAGCCTTGAGTGCCAAAAGAAGGAGCAAAGCCTCCGGGGAACAGTCCCCCTCCCGTGCCCCCAGAATGTTCTGGTCGCATCAACACATTTGCCTGGAATAGGAAGGTTGTTAGAGGGATAATATTTACATGGGTGCATGTGAACCCCCCCCCCAATCTTCTGTCTCTTTTACACTCTCCTTCTGTGCACAGGCAAGTGCTACAGCAAACTAAAGTGTGTTCCATTGCTGAGGTTGGAGCACCATCCTGGAAATTCCTGCTGGCCTCAAAGCTGTTGCTCACAGAGGTTTAGGGTTCTCCCAAGTTTCACTGTTTTCTATGAGTTACCATTAACAGAAGCTGCCCCTTTATTTCTGGTCCATGGACCCAGAGGGGCTATGCAATGGAAGACTTTAGGTGCTTCGGTAAAAATCCATCACTTTGTTCACCACACATTTATTGAGCAACTACTATGTACCTTCACATTGCTCTGTGCGCTGGGGACAGAGTATGTAAATGAAACACACAGGGTCCCTGTCTTCATGGGGTTTGCTTTCTGGTGAGAAAGACAGAAAGTTATCAAGATCATTTCAGAGAGTTATAAGGGAAATAAAGGAAATAAGCGAAGTTATGGGATAAAGAGGGATTGGAAGTAGGAGAAGGACAAACATGTCAGAGAAGATGGTCAGAAGATGCCTGAAGGATGGGGGCTTAGAAGGAGCCTGCTAGCTGAACAACAAGAACAGAGGACAGAGCAAGCTCAGGTGGGTGGTGAGTTGGAGGAAGCTAGAAAATGAGAGGAAAGGGAGCAGATGGGGCTGGGGTGAGGCAGGAGCCCATTTGGGATTTGAGGTACAATGGGAAGTTCCTACAGGGTTTTAAGGGGACAGTGACCAAGCTCTGAAGTTTGGGGTCCCCACTTTAGAGCCACTATTGGCCACCATCTGTTCCAGCCTCACCGTTGTCAATTTTCACCACAAAGTCAAAACCAGTGCTCAGAGTGCATCAGCTTTTATTTTTACAGCAATCTTTGTACCCAAACCACCGTAGCATTTTTAATAACAAACTGGCAGGGAGTCAGACATCTGTACTTGAAAAAAACAGCCCAAGCCAAGTATTTCTAAATGTTTTATATTTACTTGTAACATTAGAATAACCATGAGGTTGCTTTTTGCATAATCGGAACCATTCTCATTAGGGTTCGACAGATCTCATCCTTCATGGGCTTGGGTGGTGGTTTTCATTATGGCAATGACATTGATCTGACGGGAGCGAATCTCTCCTTGAACATTTGTGGATAAAAGGGGGAAGAAGTTGAGAGAAACCAGGGCAAGCTAGGAAAATAAGAATTCTGTGAAGATAACCATCAGCTTGGCATTGGCGGCAGGGCAAGAAAAGAGCCCAGGTTTCGAAGTTCAGCAGAGCTGGGCTAGAAGTTCAGCTGGGTGACCTTAGGCAAGTCACTTAACCTCTCTGAGCATCCATCTACCCATAGGCAAAATGCAGATGATAACAGAAAGTACTTCATGGAGTTGTGGTGAAGTCTAAATGAAATAAAACAGGGAAAAGGGCCTGATATGAAGTTGTTTTCTGCCTGCCTTCCTCCAAAATTAGTATTTAACATCCAAGATTGAGACACTTCCCCCATCTTTGTTCTAAAGTAAACTTGCAAGATAGATGAAGCAAAAGCACAGCATACCCAGTTAAACCTGAATTACAGATAAATAACAAATAATTATTTATTATAAATATGTCCCATGCAATATTTGGGACATTCTTAGAGTAAACAAGACATCCTGTATTTTATCTAGAAACCCTATTCTAAAGGCTTAACAATCCTGAGAAAGAGGGTTTTTGAGACCCAGCCCGGTCTTAGTATTCTACCTGGGCACCTGTGTCAGAGGCAGTTTGGCATCCTTGTAAAGACTGTGACTTTCTTGCTCACTGAACCCCCAGTGTCTAGAACAGACCTGGTTTACAGTAGGTGCTCAATAAAGATATATTGAATGAGAAACTATACTACAAGACCTTGTCATACTCAACCAGATTTGGGAAGTATACACATTTCAAACATGCCTTATAGACCATGCATCTCCTTTACCTGAGGTCGTCGATATGAAGACAAGGACCTGCTGAGCACCCCAGCCCTCACTCCCCACTGCCAGAATCAACCTGGAATTGAAAAGGAGGGTGACCATCACACTTACATCACCTCTCAGCCAACTGCAGCCAAGGTGGAGCCAGATCTGTGCAACTTACACTGCAGCCCCTGCCCCAAACTCCCTCCACGGCTCCCCTAAAACAACATGGGTTGCAGGAATACTTCATGCCAACTCATTTCATACTTCATTTATTTTATTGAAAAAGAAGATACAACTTCACGTTCAGAGTCTGCTTTTTTCTCCCTCTTCCTTCTGAAAACAGGAGACATCTGGGCTGGGAGAAGCTGAGAGTGGATGGTGAAGGAGTCAGGTGTGGCCCCTCTGAGCCTCCCAGGCTGGCAAATGTCTACGTTTCTCGGGAAGTTGTGAGCACAGAGGATTTCCCCAGGAATCCAGTCTGGACTTGTAAAGAAATGATCCCAACATCAAGAAAAGAAACCGGCCAGTAAATTCCTAGTTAGTTCGTTTTCTAAGACTTCTGAATGTGTTTTGAATTTTCTCTAAATTAAGATAATCATAAAAGGTTAAGACATTTAAACAGAGCTCCACCTGATCCCAGGGCTTGATGTGTTCGCTTAATTAGTTCCCGAACATACGGTTCAGAGCTTCTTATAAAAACAGGGTAATGACTCGAGGTATATTTGGGTATTAGATTGAATGATGTTAAAGGGACATTCAGACCCATCTCAAGGCCTTAACCTGCCCTTGATCTGTGCTGGAAGCCATTGCTGACATCTGTTTCAAAGAGATACCAAAAAACTTTCCAGTGGCCTCATGGTAAAACAAAAATCCACACGGAGATAGGTATCAAGCATTAAAATACTCAGGATTCAACATCGCCTGAGGAATGTGTGACCCCAAAATGTAACGGGGGGGCGGGGAGGGGGTTGGTGTTTGTGGTGGTTGAGGAGGGGCTCATACAAAGCCGGAGTGGACGGCCTCGGCTCCCTACGGAGAGGGAGCAGCTGGGTCGTAAGTGTCCCCAGGGCCTTTGTTCTTTCGTGTGTTTCAGCCCCGGATAATAAACCAGGTGCTCCTGTGTGTGGAACAGAATTCAGGTGGGCAGGAGTCACTTCCCCAGCACCCCGGCAACCCCACTCTTGCCCGCCCCTCCCGGGAAGGCGCCGGTGGGGACGCCCGCAGGAGGAGGGGGGTACTGCACCGACTCATCCGCACGCCTGAGTCCACCCCTGACCCGCAGCCCCGGTGAAGGTCACGTGGGTGCTCGCTCTGCTTAACTCAGCTTTTGGAGAAGCTCCCTCCCCAACCTCCAATCAGATTTCTGCCCCTGACGCCTTCCCGTATGGGCACGCGGGGTCCATTCTATTTGTGAAAATTCGGGCCACGTGTGGGAAATGACAGTCAGCCAGGTCCGTAACACCGGCCCAGAGCGGATCAGATGCATCTCTCTGCATCAGTGCACCTCACTCTACCCACATCCGTCACCCAGCCGTTTAACAAGTACTCATCCAGCACCTGTTGTGTGTGGGGTATGAAGTGGTCTGGGAAAAGCAGAGCTGGTCTGAGTCTAGTCCCGCCCTCTGGGGGGCTCACGGTCTCAGAAGATGAGGCAGAGATGGGTAGGCAAGCATAAAGTGAGGCCCTCACAGGTGTTTGAGAGAGGCGTACGCAACATGAGATCGGAAACGTGAGAGGAAGAGATCATTTCAGGCAGGGTAGTGACAGCTTCACAGAGGACAAGGCGTCTGGACTCTGAATGATGTGCCCATTTGGACTATGGAAACTGAGGGTGGGTCACAAGGCATTGCATGTGGAGGGAATGGCAAGAACAAAGGAAACTGCTGTGGTCCAAAACCTGGGAGTCGCTTTCCAGGTAGAAACAGCATCCCCATCCCTGCTCATCTGATCCTCAAATATCCTTGTGAAGTTGATAAGGCTGGGATAATTATTTCCACTTTATAGATAAGAAAACCAAGGCGCACCGAGGTTATATACATTTCCCAAGGTTTCATGGCTCAGATATAGTGCAGCCCAGATTCAAACTCAGGCTTAAACTTTCCAGATCCACTGGGAAGTAATACTGAAAAGATCATATTGCCAAGGATCTTAACTTAAAAGGTGAGGAGGTTGCTATTTCCTCTGTAGTCACAGGGAGCTCTCGAGGACTTTGAGCGAGGCTGGAAGACCCATTAGGCAGCTGTGAGCAACAGAAGCCAGAGCAGGAAGAGACTGGGTGTGGGAGGATGAAGGATGGATGCGTGTTGGTCCCTCAGAGGTTGTTACATCCACTCTGGGCCACGAGCTGGAGGGAAGAGGAGAACAGGGATGCAAGAAAGGGGAAGTTAGACTACTGTCAGGCAGAAGACAGGAAAGAGGCTCCAAGAACCACTGTGCCTCCAAAGAGCTGGCTGTGATGCCTCCCAAAGGCAGCTGAGACTCCAGCATCCGTGACAGCTGTGGTTTAGAGTGATTACAGTGAGCCAGGCACTTTCACATCTATTTCCTCATTGAATTCTCATAACAACCCTATGAAGTAACTGATCTTATTACTTCCAGTTTATAGATGAGTAAACTAAGGCACACAGTGGTTAAGGATCTTGGCAATGGCTACCCAGGGAGGAAATGGCTCAAACTGAAATGTGAACAGGTCTTCCCACCCAGAGCCTGAATGCTGGACCTGACCACTCCCTCCAACCCTCCCTCTTAGGTCTTACATACCACTCAGACTGCCAGGGATGGAGGGGCGGGGTTCCCATTGCCCATCAAAGTGCGTCTGCCTGGCTGCCCTTGGTTGGCCACCCTTTCCCTAGTCTGGCCCAAAGTTACCTTTTTCCTTTGTTACCTCCCCCTGGGTCCTGAGGGATCCTGCTGCCACAGCCCAGCAGGCAGGAGGCCAGATCCGGGCTGTGATACAGAGAGACAGAGTCCTTGTGAGCTGGAGTCCCAGCCTGGGGCGTCACAGCAGGAGACCTCAAAGCTGGGCCAAGCTCAGTGGGACGGAGATCAAAGCCAGTGGGGGGTGGCAGTACAACAAGGAACAGAAATGAGCAGGGATGAGGCCGGTCCCATATCATTCCTGTGGCTGCATCGCTGGGCTGGGGTGTCTTTGAAGGTCTGGGACACCCCCATCCCTGGGTACAAGGCAGAAGACCTCCTCGCTGCCCTGGGCTCCCCTCCAGGGGCTGGGGGCTGAAAAAACGGGGGCTGAGAAAGTTGTCTGCCCGGGCTCAGTGATCCCCTCCTTCAACTTACTGCCTGCTGGCCCACCTCGGGTTGCTGTGCCCACATCCATGCTCTCTGGTGTAGCTGCTTTCATTTTCCTACGTGGAAAATGGGTGTGGCTCCCTCCTGGTTTGGCCTGTTACACTCTTTGTGGCTCTGGGCATAGCCCCATGCACACTGTAGGATTTCCAGAAATCCTTGAGACCTGCCTAAAAGAAAGCCCTAGGTCCATAAAAGCCCTTGAGAGCCACATTTACTGGGAGCCAAAATGGCACACAGCACAAGAATAGCACTGTCCAGGGAGCCCAGACCCCAGGTCCTCTCCTGGCTTTGCCACTGACATCCAAAATGAGCCCTGTCACCTCAGTTTCCCCATCTGTGGCACTAAAGAAAGGCTAGCTGCCCTAAAGTTTCCACAAAGCTTCCTCATCTTCTACTGGCCACTTCTTGGTCATTCTCAGTTCTGGGTCACCTCCTACGAGAGGCCCTCCCTGACCATTCAGGCTACAGCAGCTCCATCCCCTCCCCGAGGCAGCTTTTACCATGTCACTTTGTTTGCTGTCTGCATCTGACCTTTTTCTGCTTCGGTATTTTTCTACTTGCTTATTAAC